CAAGGAAAGGAAAGATGAGTAAAATTCAGACTAAGCCTAAACCTGTCTCTATACAATGACAAATTCTATTAAGTAGTATGTATTCTGACAATTAACATAATATGACTTTATATTCTTTCATAAGATGTAGGAGTCGCTGACATGGCCAATACTTGTTGCCAATTTCTAAATGCCCGAGAGAAGGTGATGGTGAGCCACCTTCTTAGACTGCTGCAGTTAATCTGATGCAGGTACACCCACAACGGTGTTAGGGAAGGAGTTCAAGCGTTTGGACTTAGTGACAGTGAAAGAATTGTATTATAATTCAAAAACAGGTTGGTGTGTAGCTTAAAGGGTAAGTTACAGGCGGTGGCATTCCTATTCATCTATCATGCTCACTCTTATAGGTGTTAGATCTTGTAGTTTTGAAGACACTGTTGAAAGTTGCTGCAGCACATATTGTCGATGGTACACTGTGCTGACACTGTGCATCAATGGTGATAAGAGTCAATGCTTACACTGGTGGATGGGGTACTGATCAAATGGGTTGTCTTGTCATGGATGACGTCAAGCTTCGAGTGCTGTTGGAAACAGACTCATGTAGGTGTTCCGTCACATTACTGGCTATGGCAAATAAAGGTACAAAAGGGTGCAGCAAGGAGCCGCAGAGTAGCTAGGAGTCTATATAATCATCATGTATGCCAGACAAACCAAGTATCCAGCAATAATGTGGAAGACAAGTTCATAGAATGTATTCAAGATAATTTTTAGATCAATATCAAGAACTAACAAGGGAACAGGTTAATTTAGTCTAGTATTCTGCAATGAGAACCGGAGAAATTAATTACTGTGTAGTAAAGGAGCCTCTGGAGAAGTGTGATAATGATATAATGAAATGTTAAATTGTGTTAGAAAATGATTTAGTTAATTCAGAAGCTAAGGTCTTAAATCTGAACAGAGCAACTATGTAGGTATGAGGGGGAAATTGGTCAAGAAATCCCTAGATTATAAAATGGTCAGTGTAGACTGGAAGGTTGTAAAAGTATCTCTGCTGTTCAAGAAAGAAAGGAAAATAAAAACAGCGGGCCATTAGCCAATTCAGCTAACACCAGTAGCAATGAAAATGCTCCAATCTATTATTGACAAATCTGGATTAGTTTCTTGAGGCTGTAATCGGCAGCACAGAAAAGGGAGAGCAGCAGTAGATATAGTTTATTTGGATTTTCAAAAGGCATTTGATAGACATTATTATATAAGGTTAAGGCTCATAGGATTGGAGAAATACATTCATACAGACTAAGAATTGGTTAATGGACACAATAAAGAGTAGGAAAAAATAGTTTGTTGTTTATTTGGAGGGATAACTAGTTGGATACCATAAGGATCAGTGTTTGGGCCTCAGTCATTTACAATATATAGGGGACTGATTGCAATGTTTACAAGTTGCTGATGATACAAAGCTAAGTGGGGAATGAACTGTGAGGAGAGTGCAAGAAATCTGCAAGAAGTAATAAATAGAGTAGACTAGAAAATGGGAGATGGAAGATAATATGTAAATATATAGTTATCAACTTTATTATGAAAAATAAAAGTGAAAGCCTGAGAACTTTCCATTTTCATAGGAATCTGAGTGTCCCTATATGTGAATCACACTAATTAATATGTAAGTAATGGGAAACAATCGGGAAAACGAAAGGTGCGTTAGCCTTTTTTACATAGAGATTAGGGTAGAAGAGTTAGTGCAGTAACTCAGGATCTAGGAGACCACACCTGCAGTACTGTGGTTTCCTTATCCAAGGAAGGATATGGTTATCAATGAGGGAGAGCAACAAAGGTTCATAAACTGATTTTTGGAACAAGGGGCAGCAGGGAGCTGGGACAGCAGAGAAGCAGTGAGGAGATAAAGAGGGAACAGATAAAGAGCCCTTTTAGAAGCTGATAAAAACTGAAAGAACTGCAGATACTATAAATCAGGAACAAAAACAGAAGTTGCTGGAAAAGCTCAGCAGATCTGGCAACATCTGTGAAGAAAAATCAGAGTTAACGTTTCAGATCCGGTGACCCTTCATCAGAACTGTTCTGACCCGAAACATTAACTCTGATTTTTTCTTCACAGATGTTGTCAAACCTGCTGAGCTTTTCCAGCAACTTCTGTTTTTGTTCTTTAAAAGTTGATGTTTAGTGATTTCTGACTTCTGGTTTACTCCTAATTTTAATTGCTTCACTGGTGATGGCCAAGCTTTCTATTACATAGGCCCTGCGTTCTGTAATTCTCTGCCCAAGCTTCTGTTTCCCTAACTTGCCTTCTTCCTTTAAGACAGCATTTAAAATCTATCTTTATGACAAACTTTGAGGCTCCTGCACTAATACTACCTTATATGGCTCATTGTCAAATTCTGCTTTAAAACATTCTTATGAAACAACTTGAGAGATTTTGTTTTATTAAAGACACTACATAAATACAAGCCGTTGTAGCTAATATCTTGAAATTGCTTTATCATTCTATGTACATTACAGGATTCTAATTTGTTCACAGTAATGAGTTTCCCACTAGAAACAGGCAGGTTTCACCCCAAGACCTGGTTTAAGATGGTGGAAGTGAATCATGACCATAAGCGGATTGCAAAGTCAGCCCTGCAACTTTGATGTATTGTCACCTTGATTACACCACAGTGCATTGATTTCAGTCTCAACTACAAGTACAACAACAACAATGGTGAGTGAGCTGGCATGGATGATGCTGAAACACAATTTTCAAATATCTACTTGCTGGAATAGAATGACGGCCAGGTGGATCTCATTGGCTATTGATATCCTTGATTGGCATTGTTAACCTGGCTGACAGATATAAACAGGAGATTGAGAGTCCCTTCATTCTAAGGACTGGCTCTGAGCTGGCTGGTCAGAGCCCATATAAATAAAGGGTGACTTGGTAATGAAATACTGGCCTCTGTGCAGCTATTTCACTACTCTCACACTGCAAAATGCAAAACAAGCAGCAAGTCAGTGAAGCAATTGATTCATTTGCTACAAATTCAGTATCAAACCAGATCTTAATTAAAAAAGCAAACTGCAAACATGAATGGAACTTCCTGATACTGCCTGTATGGCCTGTTTAATGGATCCTGGAGGAAACAAAAACTAGCTCCAGAGAAGCTCTACTTTGAAAATATTCATTGTCCTTTTTGTTATTACTTGCTCATGGGATGTGGGTGTTGCTGGCTGAGCCAGTATTTATTACCCATCCTTAATACCCCTCAAGAAGGTGGTGGTGAGCTGCTTTTGTGTATGACTGCGGTCCTTGGGATGCAAGTACATCCATGATGTAACTGGGGAGGGAGGCTCAGGATTTTGACTCTGTATCACAGCAATACAGATCCAAGTCAGGATTGTGTGTGGCTTGGAGGGGAACTTGCAGGTGCCCCTTGTTCTTCTGCGTGGTAGGTGTTGTGGGTTTGGAAGGTACTGCCTAAGGAACTTAGTAATTTACTGCAGTGCATCTTGTAGATGGTACACACTGCTGCCACAGTGCATCAGAGATGAAGGGAGAGAGTGTTGAAAGTCGTGGATGGGGTACTAATCAACTACTTTTTCCTGGATGGTGTCAAGTTTCTGGAGTGTTGTGGGAATTGCACTCATCCAGGCAAGAGTTCCATAAGCTCCTGACTTGTGCTTTGTCAATTGTGGACAGGCACTGGAGAATGAGGAAGAGAGTTACTTGCTGCAAAATTCCTTGCCTCTAAACTGCTCCTTAAAATCGTTATGTGAGAATGGCAGAACAATGGTGTGTCTAACTGCCAGGCTTGAAAGGACAGAGAGGCCCACTGGGATGGGGGGGGAGGGGGGGTGGAAACAAGAGGGCATGGTGACAGAGAATGTAACAAGTGTCATTCTCACATCCCGGTCACTTAGTCTGAACTATCAACATCCTTTCTCCCTAGCACTCTACCCTCCACTCCCCACCCCCTCCACTCCCCACCGCCCCCCACACCGCAACTACAGCATAAATGCTGTCCCTTCTACACTTCTACACTTCTCATCAGCTCTGATGAAGAGTCATCTAGACTCAACGTCAGCTTGCTCTGTCTCCATGGATGCTGCCTAACCAAATGTGATCTCCAGCATTTATTGTTTTCCGTGTAATTGGGTAGAAATGGCAAAGAACAAAGTCCACTCGCTTGTGTACAAAAATTTGCATGGGAGTCACCAACTGGCATTAGGACCTAACGTTGCATATGTAATACACCTAACACCTGTTTCAGTCTGCCACTCCATAGACCTAAAAGTTGTCAGCTTCTAGAGATGATTTGCTGCCCAAATATTGCAATTAAACATAAAACTGTTTTGGAAGTAATGGAAAATACTACTTCCTCAAGTAAATCCTGTATGACAACAAGCCACTTCCCAACAATATTATTATTAGTGGAAAAACACTGCAATGTTGAAAAATAATTACATGTAGACATTCACATACATTTTTACCAAAGTACTCCAACTAAGCAAAATACATAATTAACTTTTTTTTGCAATACAAAGCATACTTCGGCCCAAGGAAATGAATACTTCACGGCACTAAGTACTTATTTAGAGTCTAGTTGAAAGCAGAGGAATACCCCTTTCGTGGACATGAAGAATTGAATTTTGAGTTTGTGCCTTGCATGTTGCTGCACGCAGCAAAGAGTTGTTCAGGCATTTATTTACCTGAAAATTGTGCACTGTCAGCCAGAACGCCACTACTGCAGCCTCATAATGGTGAAGAAGTGTTTCCTAACACCAAATGTCAAATTCTGAAGTAAATTCCACAACTGTAGGGTAGTAAAGTCTCACAGACATTGGCTAGTAGAAGAAATGCATCACTTCTATGTTTTAACCATTTATATAAACACCATTAAGCATTACTTCCTTTCATAACCTGCAATTATTCATTTATGCTGAATCTACCACAACATAGGATATGTGTTTTGAAAGATTAAGTCAATATAGCCATAATAAAAGTAATAAACATGTGACAATTTACTCACCCAGCTGGCATAATCGGTGCAGGCAGGTTTTCTTTTAATATTGCAGCAACTGTCAGTGGGACCGAAATAATGTCCAACAAAATATTCTACTTATTTATTTCCAGTTAAGAGGTATGATTTTTCAGCTTTGAAAAGTCTAACAACCAAGCAGGAAATAGGAAGTATAACAAAAAGTTAACAGGAAGTTAGACAGGAAGTTGAAAAGCAAAAACCTCATTGAGGTAAAAGAAAGGGAAGAGAAACTCTTCAGTCGTTCGTTGGTTTGAGTAACCGGGCATCTGATGATATGGACTTGTAATTCAAACCACAGTAATCTTCAGTAAATGGGATTTAACCACACAACCATTGACTGTGATTCATAAGCTATGAAAGCAGTTATTCAATATGCTATTAAGCAATTTTCATTAATTACTGATATACTGGGGCATAATTTTCCCAATTTTTTTCTATGTGTGTCAACAAGTGATTAACACGCTATCCCCACTGACTAGATAATTTGCCCTATCGCATGCCAATCAGTTCATTAGGAGCTGACAGGCAGGGCATAGCCAAGTTTCTTGGCCTATCATAAGGCTTGTTACTGGCATCCTGGCCGACCAGAAGCTACTAGCCAATAAGTAGGTCCAGGTCCACCTCATCTCAAGGGCGACTAGTTGGCTGACTTGGTGGAGGAACGGTGGGTTTTTTTTAAACTTCTTGTCCTGGGGTGGAACATGTGGGGAGAAGGGGTTTAGTGCACTCAGATGAAAGAGAAATGGGATTGCTTCCAGAGGCCCCTAGATTTTAGCAAATGGAACCCCGCACACAACCCCCTCCTGCCAAAACTGTTCAGCAGAAAAACCACTGTATCAAATGATAATACTTTGAAATAAACATATGGTCGCACTGGACTTCCATTCATGTATATAAGATAACTTGCACCAGCATGTCTCATTCACCAGTTTTACTGGATTTTCCCTCTGGGTAGCCACTTTTCTCACCTGATGGGAAGGTAGGTAATGGGGTAAGACGGCAAGTTGAGGCCCTTAAATAGCAATTAATTGACTATTAAGGAGCTTTAATTGGTGGCACATTGAGAAAGTGCCCAATAGACCCTTTCGCTCAGAATTGAATTGGTCAGATGGCGAGTGGGGGAGTGTATATCTCCTGTACCAACTCACCCAATTATTTCTCCCTGTTGCCACCTCACTCGACACCTACTGGAAGGAGGAAATTATCTGCAATATTCTGCAATATATATTTCTCCATTTTTGCATAATTATTACTTACATTTACATATTCCACTGTAATTTTCCAAAGAGTGCAAGATTTCCAGTGATGCATATGTCTACATGAGTGAATACAATCTCCAAGACAAACAGAACAATTGTTTATGCAAAGTCTTTTTATGTCAACATTTGGATGAAAGATGACACTTTAGCCAATTATGTATAAGGGTCGACGTCCAACACACATTTATGACTGCTAAGTCCTAGACATCTTCATAATGTCTAAGGAAATTGCAAACAGAAGCAGCTGTATCTGCATTGAAGACAAGAGTTTTGACCAATCGGACTTTATACCTTACCCTTCCTCTAAGCAACATTCGGTACAGCAAAAGCATTAAAGCTTACCTAACACTCTGTGGTATAACCTGCGTTGGAATACAATAAATGGAAACACATAATAGTTCCCATAATTCTAATGTGTTGCTTTCAATTATCTATTGCAAAATCAGTAGAAAGCAATGACTGAAATGTTGCCAAAATTCAATTACAAAACTGCAGAGTAATGGCTTTAAAACAACTAGGTTGGCATTTTAAGTATAGTTCCTCCTCTGTGTGAGTGCCAATACTTGTTAGTACCCAAACATAGCATAGACAAATTTTCCAACAATGTTGATGGTAAAACTCTGCCAAGATCTAAGGTATGAGATCTTTCAGGGCATTTAATTTCTCTGCGGCAATGTTCTGGTTCTTGCTGAGGATCAAATTGTAGTGTTAGCAAAGGGATTATACTGTTAGCAAAGACCAACAAGAAATGTGATCTCAGCCACCTTTGGATTTGAAACAAGAAACAGAAAGTTCTGGAAAAACTCAGCAGATCTGTTAGCATCAATGGACAGAACAAATATGTAAAGATTTCACCTTTCTGACCTCTCCGTTTTTATTCCATTTCAGCATAAGGGAAGTTTGAGAAATAAAGACTTACCTTTCCATTAGGCGTTGGGAATATTCTAGTTCTAACATTGACTTGAATGACTTCAGAGCTTAACTTTAGCTTACAATTCTTTTCTGGCAGGACAGGCTGAATGTATGGTGGCATTTTCTGGGGATCAGGGGAAGAGAGTTTATCAGATGGAAGGGAAGGTCTGGTACTTCAGCTGCAAACATTTCTTCAGGAGACATTGCTGGGAGAACAGGCTATACCGTTGGTGTAAACCACTTCTCAGGCAGCTGGGTTTTGTTCACTCTCATTTTGTTTCTTGTGTTTTCTCTATTGTCTCGTGTCACTATTTCTTCGGTCAATTAATGAATTCCTGGTTTTCTTTGTAATATGGTATAAATACTATAGTCAATTGCTATATGGTACTGGACTTGCAACTCAGAAACTACAAGTTGTGAAATTAATGCAACGAATCTTAACATAGCCTAATATCAAGAAAATAACTGTGGTAGCTGCCAGATTGTCACCACAAACTAACTAATTTTAGGAGGGTAATCTGCCATCCTAAACATGGATCTTCATGTGATTTTATTTTTTATTCTTTATTCATTCATGGGATGAGGGCATTGCTGGCTAGGCCAGCATTCATTGTCTATCCATACATGATATGCGCAATAACATCCCTGAACGGGATGATTAAATATCTACTCCATGGAACTCCTGCAGAGATATTCTGGAGATGAAATGACAAGCCTCCAAAAGCCACATCACCTTTCTTTTTTCTAAGTATGACTCCAACTACTGGACAGTTTCCCCTCTGTTTCCCATTGACTTCTGCTTTACTAGGGTTTCTTAATGCCACACTTGGTCAAATGTGGTCTTGATGTCAAGGGCAGTCACTCTCACCTCACCTCTGGAATCCAGGTCTTTTATTCATGTTGGACTAAGGCTGAAATGAGGTCAGGATCTGAGTATCCTGGGCAAAACCCAAATTAAGCATCAATGAACCAAGGCTTCAGCCTTTTGTTTTGTACCAACATGCTGGGTTCCCCCATCCTTGAGGGTGGGGGATGGATGTGGAGCTTTCTCTTCCAGTAATTGTCAACTACCATTAACAACTGGATGTGCCAGGACTACAGAGGTTAGATCTGATCTGTTGGTTGTGCAATCACATGGCCACATCTACCCCTTGTTGCTTATGCTGTTTGGCATGAAAGTAGTCCTGTTTTGTATCTTCAGCAGATTAACACCTCATTTTTAGGTAAGCCTGGTGCTGCACCTGGCATGCCCTTCTGCACTTTTCATTGAACTACGGTCCACAACCTGGCTTGATGGTACTAGTTGAGTGAGGGATAAGCAGACCATGAGGTTTCAGATTGTATTGGATTGTGATTCTTTGTTTGACAAAGTCCCGCATAAAAGATTAATGTGCAAGGTTAAAGCGCATGGGATTGGGGGAAGTGTATTGAGATGGATAGGAAACTGGTTGGCAGAGAGGAAACAAAGAATAGGAATTAATGGGTCCTTTCCAAATTGGCAGGCAGAAACTAGTGGGGTGCCACAGGGATTGGTGCTGGGACCCAGCTATTCACAATAAATATTAATGATTTGGATGAGGGAACAAAATGTAACATCTCCAAGTTTACAATGATACCAAGTTGGGTGGAAGGGTGAACTGTGATGAGGATGCAGAGATCCTTCAGCATGATCTTGACAGACTGGGTGAGTGGGCAAATCACTGGCAAATGCAATATAATTTGGATAAATGTGAGGTTATTCACTTTGAAAGCAAAAACAAGAAGGCAGATTAATGCCTGAATGGCTATAAATTGGGAGAGGGGAGTGTGGAGCGGGACCTGGGTGTCCTTGTGCACCAGTCGCTGAAGGTAAACATGCAGGTGCAGCAGGGAGTAAAGAAGGTAAATGGTATGTTGGCCTTCATTGCGAGAGGTTTTGATACAGGAGCAGGGATGTGTTATTGCAGTTATACAGAACCTTGGTGAGACCACACCTGGAATATTGTGTGTAGCTTTGGTCTCCTTTTCTGAGAAAGGATGCTCTTGCTCTCGAGGAAGTGCAGTGAAAGTTTACTAGGCTGATTCTGGAGATGGCAGGTCTGAAGTATGCGGAGAGATTGACTACGTTAGGATTGTTTTCGCTAGAGTTCAGACGAATGGGGGGGGGATCTCGTAGAGACTTATAAAATTCTAACAGGACTGGACAGGGTAGATGCAGGAAGGATGTTCCCGATGGTGGGTGTGTCCAGAACTAGGGGTCACAGTATGAGGAGTCGGGGTAGTCCATTTAAGATGGAGATGAGGGGACATTTCTTCACCCAAAGAGTGGTGAGCCTTTGGAATTCATTATCACAGGAAGTAGTTGATGCCAAAACATTGAATGTATTCAAGAGGTGACTAGAGAAAGCACTTGGGGCGAATGGGATCAAAGGTTATGGGGAGAAAGCAGGATTATACTATTGAGTTGGATGATCAGCCATGATCGTGAAGAATGGCACAGCAGGCTCTAAGGGCCAAATGGCCTCCTCCTGCTCCTTTCTTCTATGTTTCTATTCTTCTAGTGTTAATGGCTAACAGCTTTTCATAGATGCCAAATTATGAGTTCTGTTTGAAGTCTATCCCATTTAGCACAGTGATAGTGTCACAACTGAATATATCCTAAATGTATGGAATAGACTCTGAATCCACAAAATCTGTGCAGTGGTGTTGCTTACCAATACTTCATGGACAAATGTACCTGCAGCAGGCAAATTGGTGAGGATGAAGTGAAGTATGCCTTTCCCTATTGTTGGTTCCTTTAACACTTGCCATAGACCTGTCTAGCAGCTATGTTCCTTCAGAATGGATCTGCTTGCTCAGTCATGATGTTCCTGAGCTACTCTTGGTGATGGACATTGAAGACCCAAGACTCTGCGGCCTTGTCATTATCAGTGTTTCCTCCTGGTTTTCAACATGAAGAGTCATTAGCCA